TTTTCAAATAAACTATAATGATAATTTGATTTAATAGAGCGAGTATAAGATCTCACCTGTTAGAGAAATTGGGGCATAGGGAAGAGATTATGAAGCAGGTAAGCGAAGTCATTGCAAAAGATAAATATATAGAAGTTATTTTAAAAATTTGATAAAAAACTAGTGGAACAAGAAATGGAGTTGTCGCTATCGGAGATCCAATCAGCAGAAAGTAAAAAAAAACTTTGGGAATGTTGGAAAAGGGCACAGCAATAGGCCCAAAACAATTCCTTGGTTTTTTAATAAATATAATCTGAGATGCAAAAAATACTGCTAGAGTGGAGAAGCAGTATTGTTCTAATGTAGAAAACCCAGGGACATACAGCAGTGCACTAACCATAGGCGAATAGTTACTAAATTATACAAGAGTCCCATCTCGATTTTATTTTTAAATATTTTTGAGAATACCTATTATTATTTGTTACATTGAGTTTAATAAAACCACAGATTTCGAATGTATTGAAAGTTATTTAAAAAGTACCTCTATAAATATATAGAAAATGTGTATATGACTAACTGGTTTTATTAATCTTTTTTTGGGGTAGGTAAATATATTTTGAAAAATTTACAAACTTCTTTTGAATAAAAGACAAAATATTTCTGTTTTTATTAACTGAACAATATTTTATACGAACATAATATATACCTATTTAAAAGAAAATATTACATTTTACAAGTATCGCATATTTATATGAAATAACTAACTCAATAAGAAAGAATTAAATGAAACAAATTAATAAACAATGGATATGAAAAATTGCTATAACAATTTAATCCTTAGATAAACTTATTCTTACATATTGCTTTAATCAATTTATTTCCTATAAAAGTATATTTCCTATCATTTATTACATATAATAAAATAAAGCATAAAACATACAAACTATAATATGTACCTACTTAGAACGGAACTAATATTATTGTATCAAGGTAGTAATAGTGGACATTTTCCGAATAAAAAAAAGTAAAAAAGAAGTAACGGTGGACACGTTTGGTCTTCATCAGTACGGTGCAGTCAAGTTCAAAGGATCATGGAACTTGTGTTGGAAAAATTGTACAATAGGTCACTAACAAGGAGCCAATAACACATTTGCCGTTTCAGCTAGTATCCCCAAATTTTCTGGGCTTATACTAAAGTCACAAAATGATTCAATGGTCTTCCTATGGCTATCAGTTATTATTTCCTAACATTTTTTGGTATGCTACAACAAAACATACAAATTATTTGATTTTGTAAATACACAAATATTTGTGAAAACTTACACATGAAATGTTATTCCTTCCTTGTATCTTCTACCGTTAGATGCATTGTTACATTCACGTACAAAACAAAAAGAGATTTTGAAAATCCTGTAAAAATTTAACACCAAACCACAAATGTTGTTTATTAAAATAAAACACTAAACGACTAAACTAAAAAATAATGTTTTAAATAAAACCTTTACTAGAAGAACAAAATAAACAACACAACAGATAATAAAATCGATTATATACGTCGAACGCCGATCTTACGCTTATTACTAAACTTGCGCCGATTCTGTCTTGTCAGTAGTGCCAACTTAAAATTTATTGACATTTATTTATCATGGCGCCCATCATATGGGGGGTCAAAATGTTTTTACGATGCGGTATCTAGACCTTCTGAGGGCTATGGATAATAGTCATAGAAATAAAGTTGTGTTTCCATTTGAAATAATATTTAATTTTATATCAACGAATCACCATCATTATTTTTTTGAATCGGTTATTTTTAAATTTAGTTGGTATGAATGATTATAGTTCTTAGTAGGTAGGTATTTATAAGGTTTTGAACCTAATTTGTGACTACTTTCATATTTTTGGTTTCGAAAATAATGTGTTACAAATAAACAATACAGTTATGTTGAAAAATTTGCTTATTTAATTTAGAACATACAGGGTTTTACGAAAAGTAAGTAGTAAGTACACAGGTATTTATTTCTTGATCTTTGGCAGTTGTTTTAGAATTTTTCTAATCAGGAAAGATGCAATCAAATTAAAACAAAATTAAAGTAAAATTAAACATAAAGTCTAATAGTTATATTGAATCCACCCCTGGGAGAAAGAGAAAGGGCAGCTCTAATATTAATTATCATTATAATTATCATTACAATATTTACTATTTAAAAAGTGGACAAACAACAATAAATGACAGAAAAGTTATAGAGTCAAAACTCATCCAGACCTACCCAAAAGAATGGATACAATATTTAATGCTATGGACAGTACTAGTGGACGATTTTCAAGGGTAATATACCAAGACCTTGATAATAGTCAGCTATTTTTGTTGAATCTAAATTTCGAGAATACTTTAATATCAATTTGATAAGACATACTTTTTAGGCATTAATTATCTGATTAAATCCCGAGAGCTTTAGCTCGAGGGCTGTAATCATATGATTACTAATGCCAAAATTATGCAGAATCAAATTGTAAAATGTTCGAGAAATTTATAAACAACAAAGGTCGTGTTATATTTGGAACGACTATTTCACTAGACCAAATACCAAATATTGACTCATATTTGGTCCAGGAATATGGTATTAAAAAACGATCTAAAGAACATTTGCAGGTATTGGAGCATTCTCAAAACGCTGTAACTATTTCGATCAACTGGTGCAAAACTGTTCATTAATGTAAAAAAAGACAGTTGTAACATTTACAAAAAAACAGCAATTGATATCTAAAATTAAAATCGCAGCGCGTCGTCTGTACTTAACATTTTTAAAGTAAATGTTGTGGCTTGTTATTGTTTACATTTTTGAGTTTGTAAACAGCCCATAAAAAGTATTTAGTTTATATTGTGCTATTTTAAGGAAAACATATTGTTGTTGTTAATTTTTAGTGATTAGACACTTTTATTTCAATAGTTTTTAGGTTAAACTAAAATATAATTTTTATTTTGTAAATAACACCCTATTAATTTTGTTTTTGAGATACTTTCATTCATTTATGTTGATTTAAGATATTTGCGTTATCTTTTAATAAAATATTAATATATTTATTCTACTTTTAACGAGATGTCTGAAATAAGGCCAAGTTTAATAGAACTTATGAAGTATATTGGTGGAGGTGAAAATTCTAGAACTGTTATTGAAGAAGGGGCTATTTTAAATGCAAGCCATAGATTTTTTATGTGGAAAGAATGAATTTGGTGATACACATATATCTGTGTATGCAGTTGTTCTCCAAACTAGTGCATTGAATTTAGATCCCCATATTGTTGTAGGCCATTTCTCATTCACAAGATGTAGATATTGGTAAATGGCAATGTTCGTTTTAGGCTGGGAACAGTAGACAATGTAAACATATTTCAGGAATCTTAATAAAGTGTTCTAGGTATATACTGTTTCAAATAATAAAAGACCTATCAAGCTAATTCAATTGAATACCTTATGATTTTTTTCTACACCCACATGTATATTATTTATTCTACGCACAGACTACAGAACGAAAAAGTAGGCCATTGAACGAATATATTTATCCATTCTATGAAGAACACTGTACAGACATGAAATTCACCAATCACAGTTTATATTTGGTCACCAGGATACCATTATTTTTTTAAATTTTAAATGAGTGACAATTCTGTCAAACTAATTTTCAGTATTTTTTTAGTTATTGAGATTAAATATAATTACAAATAAGTGATTATTATGAAGAATCGATAAATAATGGCACTACACAAGATATTCTTTTATATTTTCAAATAACTCTAAAACCAGTTGATCATGATTATTAAAAAAAAAAACATGTGTCCTTGGTACGGAAACGGAATATTTATGGCTTCACTTTTATGTTTACATAAACAATTTGATAATCTTACTGTCTCTAAAATGTATTTCAATGTTTTAAACAGATACAGTGGGTGGGTAGGTGGGTGGGGTTTTTCGGGTTTTCCTCACCTGTAAGTCAAATGGCACCATCAATCATCTTTAAGTCGCCCCGGAGCGCCACGACAAATAATAATAATAATAATAATATCCATCCCTTTCCTCGCACAAGCTTAGCTTTTAGGGTTAAAATTTACTCGTAAGGGGGTAAATTAGGGAGAGTATTATTATTATTATAATAATTATACTTTCTATAATAGGTGTACAGTCTTAAATTAGCTAGGTATTAAAATAAAACATCATTCGTAAAAAGAAACTCAAAAATAAAAAAAATAATAGGTACAACAGGTTGTATATAAAGTATATTCAGGTACCTACAACAACATGCAAAACACTATTCGGTAAATCATGTTTGGGTTCATATTCTTTAACTTAGTTCTTTAAAAAATACAAGAATATAAACTGAAAAAACGATTTTTTTTAATAAAAGTAAGAAGAACGATTTACTGCTCTAAAACATCAATTGGCTTTGAAAATTTATGAAAGCATCGATCTCCTTTTAGCGTAATAGTTGGAATATGTAATATGATGTGTTCCAGTGATAAATAAGAAACATTATTATCATTCACCTTAAATATTGCGTCATCATTACTACATGATTTTATAAATGTTATTTGTATTCCTCCTTCTTCCTCGTCTACGTCGCCTGAACAGATTGCAACATATTTATAGGTTTTTTTTTGGCGAATAATTTTACTAGTATATAATCACCAGGAACGTACCGAGGAGGTAAAACACCAGAGCTTCCAGCCACCTTGGCAAGTTCATAGCGTCTGAATTCTCATCAGTATCTGTAGTTGTTGGTGAGTTTTCTCTCATAAACCGAAGAGTTTCTTTTTTAAGATTGGATTGTCTTGCTTGAAAAGCCTTGTTGGAATTTGAATTACAAGCCTGAATTTAAGTTCCAACTGATACGACCCCAAAGAACAATTAAACGTAATTCGGTACCCGTAGCACCATCTAGGGTCGAGGGGGCGGAGTGCGATTGACGCAAGGTAGTGTTCTAAGCTTCTATGCATTTCGCACCCCTGCGCAGCTGGGTGGTCAGAAATGCCGGAAGTGAGACCGGCGCGCGAACTCTCGCTTGGTGATGTAGCAAGGCACTTTTTTGGGGTGTTTTGTTGTGAACAGATGTGCGAAAAAGTCGATTCGTTTGTGGAAACACAAAGTAAGAGTAAAATTGAACTCATATCATCCGTGTAGGATGGTGGGCCCGTTGGCCAGCATTATCATTAAGGATGCAGTCCCTTATTTAGAATAATTAGTAATAATAGTGATCACTAGTATTATTTGTGCTCGGAGTGGTGGCAAGTGGCAAAAGCCCAGTGGGGTAATAATTGACTATGTGAACATAATAAAATAAAGGCAGTTAGTAAAGTAAAAAAATTTTAATGAACCAGCCCTAGTAAGAGTGTCAAAGGTCTCATGAACTGTTGCGGACAGCAAGCAACACCCGATGTGAGGAAATGGCGGCCAAGAAAATGCTTAAGGCCCAATTTCCCTCAAGCCTTGATATGTTTTCTCCAGCGTTTTCTAGTCACTCGATTTTCTCTAGGTGTCATATCTTTTGCTGCCTTTACTTGTTTTTTCTCCTTTTTGTTCATGTATTTTATTCTCTCTTTTTCTTTTTGTTCGCTATATTTTTGCCTATCATTTTTTATTCTCTGATACCTAGACCTTTTAGATATTCTTTTCTTTCCTAATATTGCTCTTTTTTGGTTGTCTAGCCATTGTTACACAAATCTACAATAAGACTGTCATATATTTTGATATACTTAAAATATATTTGCAGTAAATATTTTCATAACTGCATGAAAGTAATTCTCTTGTTAAAGACGTAATTCCTCTGTCGTATAAATCATCAGGGGGATTACGCCAGGGGAATTACGGATTTCCAAGAAAGCCTTTATATCTGTTTTTAAAATTATAATGGAAAATATAGATACTATCCTAACCTATCCTACATTGGTCTAGGAGATACCATTTAGCTGGAGTTAAATGTTACTTGCCAAAAATATTAAAGACTATAATTCATTAAATGTTAAATGACAGGGGAATTACGTAAGACATTGAAGACAATTTAAATATGTATTATATTTTCGAAATAAATATAATTTTTTGCGCCTTCAAAGGCCTTAGTACATGGAAAATACTTGGATAAGACTGTATTATAATGTTGATGGCGTAATTTTATGTAACTTTTACATTATGACTGTTTTTAAGACATGAATGGTTTGACAACATGCCAGGATAATTAAAATTTTATTGTTTGAACGAAAATTCTCAAAATTATCTTGCTTCTTTGGAAACAAAACTTATTTTGCCTTAAAGATAGTAATTCATTTATCGTAGTTGATATCATTTTAAAGATATAAAATAATTATTTATTTGAAAAAATTAGGAAGACATGCATATGTCGCTTTGACGTGAAATTACCCACTAAGTAGTTAAAAATATTGTAAAAATATTAATAAAATAATTAAGCAAAGGTTTCTATAATATTTAACAATACAAATATTAATAATTTTGCTCATATCCTCCAACCTCTATTTTATTGGTTTCAACTAAGTATAATGATAAAAATCTGAATGTATTACATTATTTTATGATCTTTGCCAATACAGCTTTTTACTGGTTACTAAAAGCTTATAACTTTTCAAAACTAGCAAAAAACCATTTAAACTTCATAAGTTTAAAGTTATATAGCATGCGAAAAGCAATATTCTCGTCCTACACAACTTCCTTTTAAAACAGACAAAATTAAAAATTAAACATCAAGCAATAATTAATTTGATTTTCAGTCATAGTTGACTTTGCTCCGAGTCTCAGGACTATATGAAATCTCGGCGAAAACGGCCCCAGGACACCAAACTTCTGGTAATATTCGTTAATAAAAATTTCATGTACCTTCCTCTTGGCATTCTTCTCTTCTTTGTGCACGACTTTCGCAATTTTTACATAATTATTATAAATTTACGTTCAGGATGATAAAATAAAATATATTCGCAGTCTGGAGATTTTGAAAAAGCAATTAAAGTTATAAGAACATGAAGGGGAATGTGGAATGTTGCCAACCAACGATTTAAAGTAAAATCTGGTCCGGTTAATCTAAACATTGTATTTATGTGAGATTTCAGCGAAAACTCACAAAATGTCAAATAGAGAATTTTAATTTGAAATTACGTTTTTGTAAGGACTCTTAAAAAGAGTTTTTACGCAGAAGCACATGCTGAATTTTATTATTATTACTTTGAACTTATTAAAAGGTTAAGATTCCTGATCTATATTAACTTTAAAAGAATTAAACCACCAATTATCCTTTACTCACAATTTTCTAAATAATAAAACTTTCCAAGTTAGAGTAAATGGCGCTATTTCTGACCTCAAAACAGAACAACATGGAACACCGCAGGGATCAGTGATCAGTCCAACTCTATTTTTGATAGCTATCAACAACATTACCAAGAACATACAAAAGCCAATAAAAGTTAGATTGTATGCAGATGATCTGGTCATGTACATAAAAAAGTAAAAATCTAACAACAATGCAATCAATATTACAAGCACACATAAATATACTAGAAAAATGGTCCAGTGACTCCGGTTTCCATTTCTCTGCAGACAAAACGAAATGTGTGATGTTCTCTATAAAAGAAATAGATCAGAAACCAATTCTTAAACTTAATGGTAGCCCTCTCGATTATGCATCAAAAATAAAATTCCTGGGGATGATTTTCGACACGCAATTAAATTGACAAGAACATATTAAAGAGCTCATTGGTAGTTGTCAGAATGGATTAAATCTATTAAAAGCCCTTGCAAATAGAGAATGGGGTTCTGATTAAGAGACTTTACTTCAATGCTGCAGACACCTTATTAGATCGAAGATTGATTATGGGTCCATCGCCTACGACTCCACTAAAACACATATATTGAAATATTTAGATGGCATAGCCAATCAAGCATTACGAATAATTTGTAGAGCTTATAGAAGATCCCCCATCGAAAGCTTACAAGCAGAACTAGGAGAGTCATCACTTGCTAAAACAGAACAATATCTAACATTATCGTATGCGAGTACTATAATGAACAATCAACAACATCCAAACTACAATAATACAGTTGCAAATAGATATCAAAACACCTACGAATCGAGGAAAAGAGTTGACTATCCTTTTTATTACAGAGTTTCTCAATATCTCATACAACTAGATATACAGCTCCCTGACATTTTTCAATCAAATATTGATATACCACCACCATGGCTGATCAAATCTCTGAGCATCGATACAAGTTTAACAATTTTTAATAAATCAGAAACACCAACACCCCTAATTTACCAAAACTTTCCCTCAAAACTGTCTATGCACGGAAAAAAATGTGACTAGAAAATTTTACTACAATGTTGTAGTAGTAGACTTGTAGAAAAATACTTAACAATTTGTAGAAAATTTTACTACAATTTATAGTTAAAAACTATTAATTATTGTAGCAATTGAATTGTTGAATAAAATGCTACAACAATAGGAAAGAAGTCCACAATGTTTAGTATATTTTACTATTGTTTGTAGAAGTAGAAATTTATTACAATTATCGTAATTACTACTACTAACATCTGTAAAAATTTGTACAAATATTAATAATTATCTCTACAAAAAATAGAAATTTTCTCTACAAAAAATAGTAATACTCTACATACCTTCTTATAATAAACATTCAATTTTGTTGAAAAATATTCTACAATATTGTAGAAATTCTTAGTCATGTGAACAAAACAAAATTCTGCTATTGGCCAACGTTTTCTGACGTCGATCATAAACGGCCAGACAGCAGTAGCCGTTCGCCAATGTTCACATAACAAAGCATGGTACATATACGAGTACCTATAACACATTATTATATTATAAGCACCGATGCGTTTGAGAAAATTTTAATAATAAATTCTATTGGTGGTAAGTACATTTAATATTGTTTCTGAATAATTTACCTTTAGATAACTAATTTAAATAACCTTAGTAGATTATTTTAAAAAAATAGTTGTGGCCAACGATCGAATTTTGTGCCAAGTTCAATATTTTTTTGTCTTAATTGTGACATACCTACTTTCTCATTTTTGTTAGTTATCTGACTTAGTCATTTAATATCCAAATCAGTGTAAAGGTGATAAATATCCCCGTTTTAAGGGTATGAACAGTTCAATTGGTATTAATTTTTATTTCATATTTTTCAGGTGCAGAAAAGCCAACTGAGACTGAGGGCGCTATTATTACTGTTATTTATTACATAATGTAATTAAGAATTTGTATCTTTTATATTAAAACAATAAATTGAATATTTTATTAAGGAACATTTTTTTCTAGGTTGTAATTATAATAATTATGGAATACTACTACAAATTTTATTAAAAATTACCACAATTTGTATGAATTTTTACTATTTATTGTGTAAAATTTTCGTATTTATTTTCATAAAACGCAATACATTTTTAATATAAATTCATACAATGAATAGCAAAAATTATAACAATTTATAGAACAATTCTTATGATGCATTTGGATATTTTTACTAAATAAATAATAACTCTACAATACATTCTCCACAAATATTTGGAAATTTTTACTACAAATTGTCCCTGTCCCTATATGTACTATTTATTGTAGAGAAAAAATCTACAATTGTAGAAATTTGTTCTACAATTTTTTTTTCCGTGTGTATTCTAACTTTCACAAAATATACACTGATGCTTCTAAAATCCCAAATGGAGTTGGAGCTGCTGTTATCACTTCTCATAAACCACCTTTAAGATACAGATTACCCGTCTTAAGCTCTGTATTTGCCATCTTACAAGCTTTGAATCAAACCTACAAAAAACTGTAAGTGCCCTTAATACATTAAAAAACATCTATACCAACAACCCTATTGCACTACAAATTAAGATCCAACTACAGAAACGACAAAACAATAACTTCGATGTCAGATTCCTATGGGTACCCTCTCATCAAGGAATAGAAGGAAACGAAGAATCTGACAAACATGCAAAAGCGGGTAACAGTTTTCAATAGTGCACATATGTAAAAAAAAATAAAAATGGATAAAAATAGAAGAAAGGATAAATTAGAGAGAAAACAAGAAAGGTTAAAAGATAAAGAAAAAATAAATAAAATGGAGAAAATGGAGAAAAACATGAAAGATGATATGAAGAGCAAAATAGAGAAGGTAGAAAATAAATTGAAAGTAGCGGTGAAAGAAATGGAAGAGTCAAAGTTACTAATAGAAAATAGGATGGAAAAAAAAACAACAGAATAACTAAGAACAGAAAAAATTGTAATAATAGTAGAAATAGAGAAACTGCAAGATGAGAAATTTGAGATTGCAGCAGAAAAAGTAAAATTTTTTTGAAAAAGAACTAAAGGTGGAGATGCTACACAAAGAATGGACACGTTGGAAGAAAAATGAATTAATACAATAATAGTAATAGACCAAAATGTTGAGGAAAATGTGAAAAAAGCGGAGCAAAGAATTATAGAAAATAAAAAACAAGAGGAAAAGAAATTGGATAAAAGGTTAGGAGATATGAGAAAGCAAATAGATCATCAAATGATAGAAAAACTAACCCAAACACGAACAAAAGTCAATAATGGAATGAAAGAGGAAAAGCGGGATGATGTCAGTAGAAAAATAAAGGATATAGAAACAAGATTAAGAAATTTACAACAAGTATATTCAACTATTCAAGATATGGATAACGAAAAATCAGGAACAAGAATAAAGAATAATTATATTTTATTGCAATTAAGGAAGACCATAAGTTTGAGGGAGACAATGGTAAAATTCATTCAAAAGTTGTTACAAAAATGTTTAGAGCTAAAACGAAATATAAAATTCTAAAAAATAAAGTTAGTGTGAAACAAAATGTAAAATATAGAAGGCAAATGAAACCGAAAGTGAAAAATAAGGAATAATTGGGGAGGATAATGAAGACTAGAAGAACGACAGAAAAGAAAAGAGTGAGGACGAAATTGAAATGGTAGAAAAATTTAGATAGGTCACGGAAATTTGGAAGTTTGAAAGTAATTGTGAACATGATAATTGAATAGATAAAATGAATAAAATAAAAAGGCCTGTATTAAGTGTATAAGTGGACGTGTGTAAAAGTGAAAAAGAAGACAACATCGATAATAATAGTTAGGAAAATGTAATAAGGGAAAGAATATAATTTGATTTCAAAAGAAAAGATTTTGTGCCTAAAAAGAGAATTTAGAGAAGAAATGTTTGTAACAGTATAAGGGAAATGAATAATTTCTTGGATTAAAATGAAGGAGACTATATGATTTGTGATTTGTATAATACTAAGTAAATGCGGTATAATGAATAATATGGTATAGAGTGAATTAATTTGGCATAATCGTAAATAATGTAGTATATTAATGAATAATGCGGCATAAAGAAAATAATGATATAAAATAATATTTAAAATAAAATTATGTATGACGAGAAAATGAAGATGAGAAAATGTACAAGTGTAAATTAAAAATTTAAAAAAACCGACTTCAAAAACGTGTAGATGCCATCACCACATCTTAACCAAATTTATATAGGATCACCCCTGAGGTACTCCCTTACTAACAAAAAAAGAATCATATAAAAATGGGACAAGGTGGTAAAGCATTATCGCTAAACATAAATAAAAAATGAAGAGTGAGGATTTTCTCATGGACTCAATTTTTAGATTTTGACCAAATTTATATGGGACCACCCCTGATGTAGCCCCTTTCTAACAAAAAAAGAATCATATAAATCGGACAAGGTGGTAAAGCATTATCGCTAAACATACATAAAAAAATGAAGAGTTTGAGGATTTTCTCATGGACCCAATTATTAGATTTTAACTAAATTCATATGGGACCACCCCTGAAGTAGCCCCTTTCTAACAAAAAAAGAATCATTAAAATCGGACACCGTGTTAAAGAATAATCGCTGAACATACATAAAAAAAAAAATATCGCTACGAATTGATAACCTCTCCTCCTTTTTTGAAGTCGGTTAATAAAATGAGAAGAATATTTAAAAAAAGGATATTTTGAGATGGAAAAGAAAGACGAATGAAGATAATATGCACAAAAAAGACATTAGAAAAATTATAAATTATGAAGATATTGAAGTATATAGAAAACAAGAAAATCGGGGGATATTTAGAATATAAATTAGGGATAAATGTGAGTATGAATGTTAGATGGTAGTTATACGGAAGGTAAAATAGTTAAGAAATGTTATAAGTTATAAGATAGTTTATTGTTTGAATGAATAAAAAAAATGAGAAATCAATAATTAAAGGAGGAAAATATAAATTGCCAAGGAGTTATATTTTTTTTTTTTTTATTTAAATTTAGAAATTAATTTCATTGTTCTCAGTATATTTGGAAAATATATTAAATGAACAATGAATTTGGAGAATTTGATACGAAAAAATATGACGCCATCAAAATTTATTAATTATCCTGGGGTGACAAAGTTTGGAAAAAATCTAAATTTATGTTAAAAAATCAGGATGTCAATATTTTTTTGAACTGTCATAAAATTTTAGAGATTGTCAGAAGGTAATTTTGGATTTTCAGAAAGGAATATTAAATGCTAATAATTATAAGGATTATTAGCATTATTGTACAGTTTGAATTGATTAATGTTAAGTTGGAGGGAAAAAAACAAAAACAAGGTAAATAAAATTTTATTTAATGGGAAGATATGGGTAAATCAAGCAACATGAAAGAGAACTATAAGGGACTGGGGAAGCGGAGACATAAAAGTTGAATGAGAGCCAATCAGCAAAGAAAAGCTACAGTGATAAGCACTATTTAAATAAGATGAAGCAGCTGTGCGGGGGCAAAGAGATAAGAAAAGGATCTGAAGAGCGAAAAAATTAAGAATTTATTTATTTTTTCACTTTAATTTGGCTCTAAATTTGTTTTTGTGAAATTTTTAGAGAACCAACCACCCCTTTTAAAAGTCTTAATTTTTGGATTCTGGGTGTTTCCGTATCAATGTATTCGTTACCTATTTTATTTAATCTACCACAACTTCCTAATGAAATAAATTCACTTTGATAACTAGTATGTGACAGGCATCTTTCTTTGTAATTACCTTAGACCTTACGCTAATAAAATAAAAACTGCATTTACTTCCGGAATTTTAATTTATGTAGATAGTTAAATTAATTAGTAAGAATAAGGGATAGTCACTTTTTGATCATGTTGGTAATAAAAAAATTATATCAGCAACTACTTTTTTATATAAAGCTTTGTTGGACTTAATTAGCATATAATTTCACATAAATAGAATTTAATCTATATTAAAAATGTTAATTTAAAAATAAATCATACCTACTCATAATGCAACGGACTGATAATATCCTATGACGATAATGAAATACAAGTTTTAAGGGTTTGTAAGTTACTTTATTTTTCAATATAGTTTCCTGTTATTTTAAAACATGCGACGGTATTAATCAGCCTCGTAGGCAGTTTTGCTGCTCTGGAATTGCGCAGGTAAAAATTTAATGGTATTAAATCGAGAAAACATAAAAATGCAATAATTTGATGCTGAAACAATTAAAAAATTTTACTACGGTGGCTATTAGAAATGAAAAGAAAGGTTATCTAAAATATTGCGTTGATACATTTGGTAGAAACAGCCGTATTATGTGGCAAAAACTTAAGAATTTAAATATAAATTCTAAACCTGCAAAATCCAAGTTACCTGAAAACCTAAATGTTCCTAATGACATAAACAATCACTTTTTATTGGCAACTGGTAACTGTGCCGATGCTGACCAAGATTTACTTCTTTTCTATACTAATAATTTTAAAGACAACTTCCGTAACTTGCTAAGTTTTACAACAGTTAATCAAAATACTATCTATAAGTATTTAACCGAAATTAAAACGCAGGCTATAGGAATTGATGGATTGCAAATTAATATGCTCCTTATGTGTTGTCCGTATATTTTAATTTTCATTACGAATATTGTTAATTCCTGTATAAAGGAATCTTTTTTTCCAGCCCTTTGGAAAGTCACAAAAGTTTTCCCATTGCCTAAAAAGAACAATATTAGTAGCTTTAGTGAATTACGACCCATTTCAATCTTATCAGTGTTATCAAAAGTTCTGGAAAAAGTAATTAAATATCAGATAGAGTCTCACATCAACAATTACAATATTTTACCAATCAGCCAATCTGGTTTCAGACGTGGCTACAGCTGTACTTCAGCATTATTAGAGGTCACTGATGATATCTTTAGGGATATAGACAAAGGGTATACAAACGTTTTAATACTTCTAGATTATACAAAAGCCTTTGATACAATTAACCATCAGCTTCTGTTCAGTATTCTTCACTATGTTGGTTTTTCGGTTAAAGCAACTAAATTTATTAAAAACTATCTTTCCGATCGTTCACAGTTTGTTGAAACAAGTGCCGGTAGATCTGATATTAAAAATATTGCCTGCGGTGTGCCACAGGGCTCTATTTTGGGACCAATTTTGTTTTGCATTTACTCTACTAATATTAGTTCGGCTCTTACCAATGGCAGAGTTTATATATATGCTGATGATACGCAAATAAGGTTTTCTTTGTCTGATTTTAATGTTGCTCTTACTAATGAATTGATTAACTCAGAATTAATAAAAATCGTAAATTTTTCTAACAGACATCAGCTAACTATCAATCCCGCAAAAACACAAATACTCGTCTTTGGAAAAAATAAAAAAGAACTAGCAGAACATTTATCTGTGAGTATTGATGGTGTCTTGGTGGCTTGTGTAGATGTTGCCAAAAATCTGGGTCTTCATCTTGATACTGACTTAAAATTTAAAAGCCATGTAAATAATTGTATAAAAAGGGCTTACGCTAATTTGAAAATGCTTTACCCGCTTCGCCATGTTTTAGATCAAAATATAAAAATACTTCTTTGTGATACTATGGTTCTCAGTCATTTTAATTACTGCGATGTCGTCTACGGGCCTTGTATTGACTATGTGGATATTAATCGTATTCAAAGAGTACAAAATTCTTGTCTTCGCTACATATATGGTATAAAAAAATACGAAAGGATAAGTCACAAACTAATTGAAACTAACTGGTTAAATATGGAAACTAGAAGGAATTTACACATGGTAACATTGTATCATAAGATCATTTCATTAAAGTCGCCTCCTTATCTCTATAATAAAATTACATTTCGAAGTGATGTGCATAATGTGCATACAAGGTTTAGAGGGCATATATCTCCACCTCTCCATCGTACCTCCAAATTTCAAGGTTCATTCTCTTATATGATATTTAAACTATATAACCTGGTTCCTCCTAAACTCAAACATCTTTCGACAAATATGTTTAAGCAAAAGTATAAACATCTCTTGATGTCAGAAAATATCTAGTCAAAACAACCATTAGATATTATAATAAAATGTAATATTACATTTATAAAATGTGTATTTATATTTTTGTCTCGATTGTGCCACACTTTATTCGTTGTATTTTATTATTTTAATATTTTTCTTTTCTTTATTAGGGATAGCAATTAATATCAGCTATGCTGTCTGCTATTCCCTTTTTGTAGTATTATACTATTTTGTTCGATAAAATTTATGTATTTAATGCAAATTTACCTGTAATACTGCAAATAAATTATTATTATTATTATTATTATTATTATTATTATTAATTATATAATTCTCTCATATTGATGATAGTTTGAAGGTAACGTACGTTTGAAAAATGTAATAATTGTAATAGAGACCTCTTTCAAGTTTATATAATTTCCAATAAAA